GAAGCAGCCAAGTAGAGTAAAATAGAATAGAGTTGAGTAAAGTAGAGCAGTCGAGACCTCGGGGCTGTCTGGAGACGAGACGACCACCGGCTGTCCTCTGTCTGACGTCTCTCTGATGTTCAGGTGAAGTGGGACGTCCCCTGAATGATAAAAACACAAACATGGAGCTGAAACAAAACAACTTGTTCAGGTGCAAATGTTTTCACCCCTTTCTGCTGAAGCCCCGCCCACTCCCTTCATAGGTGTCAATAAGATCCACCTGTTCTGACAGCCCCCAGAACCAATCCATTATTAAGAAACAGAAAATCTCACCTAAAAACTTCACTCCCAGGGTGTCGGCAAGCTGCCGGGCTCCATCAGAACCAAAGATGTGGGTCTGATGGTGACAGTTTGGGCACTGGAAGACGCTCATGTTCTGCACCAGACCCAAAACCTGCAGGAACATTCAGTCTTAAGACCGACCCGACAGCGTTTCTGGTCCACCCGCATTAACCGACACAGGAAGATTACCGGAACGTTCACTTTCTTGAACATCTCGGCTCCTCTGCGAGCGTCCAGCAGAGCGATGTCCTGCGGCGTGGACACGATGACCGCACCTATGACACAAACATCAACGCCGCAGAGACAGGAAGTCGCCTCAACTTAATAAAAACATATAGGTCAGGTGAAACAGAAATGACTTTCAACAACGGCCTGTGACACTGACCTGATATAGGGACGTTCTGGGTGATTGACAGCTGGACGTCTCCTGTCTCAGGGGGCATGTCCACCACCAGGTAGTCCAACGAGCCCCAGTCCACCTAAACACAAGTAAAATTAAAATCTCTGCCTCGTGAGACGTTTAACGGGACAAAAACACACCTGTCACCTGTCTGAGCAGGCGTTCTACAGCAGACATGACCATCAGTCCCCTCCACACGATCGGAGACGTGTCCTCCACCAGGAAGCCCATGGACATGCTGACAGGAAGCAGAACTGCATCAGTTATCCGTCTCTAAAAGACGTGATCTGATGGAGGGGGAGGACTCACCACGGGACGCCGTAGTTGGTCAGAGGAATCATCCGATTATCTGCGGAAACACGGAGAGTAAAGTTTTGTATTTACAGAGAGTTCAACTAAACCCTTCTGGAGTCCACGTACCGTCACTGAGCTCCGGGTTTCCCTTCAGGTTCATCAGTTTGGGGATGGACGGGCCGTAAACGTCCGCGTCCAACAGACCGACTGACCTGGACTGAGACAGGAAGGGTTCTGTCAGCTCGGAGCGGAAACATCAGAACTCCTCCACGACTGAGACCAGGACCAGTTCAGAGGAGAAACACTCTTGTTTATGTTCTGCTCAAACATCAGAACATTCAGCTCAGCCCGAGACTTTAGCTTGTCCAACTTTTTTAAATATTTAACTTTAATTAGAAATATTTCCCCCTAGAAATCCTTCAAGATCTCTTCAGTTCCTTCAAAAACATTCGTTTACTTCAGCTACTGGCTCAATTTTGTACTCTTATGCTTATTTTAGCTACTACCTTGCTAATTTTATGGTTTAGGTTTTGATACATTTAGCTTTTAGCTTCTGTTTTGCTTATTTCATGTGCTAGTTTTAGCTTTGTGTAAAGGTTTTGTTCATTTAAGCAATTACTTTAAATTTAGCTTTAAGCTAGGGTTTTGCTAATGTATCTTTTAGCTACTGGTTATCTAATATTTGCTTTTAGCTACTGCCTCTTTACTTTAGTTATTAGCTATGATTTAGCTAATTTTAGCATTATTTATAGCTTTATATTTAAGCTTTGAGGTATGGTTTAAACAATTTTAGCGTTTACCAACTGTTTGCTTATTACAGCTACTTGCTACAATTTAGCTAATTATTTGTATTTTTTTCCTACTATTCAGATAATTTTATCTTTTGTTAGTTTTAACTTTTACAGCCCAGTAGCTGTAAAATAAACTAATATATTTCAATATATTAATATAAATACAAATTAAAGATAAAGTGAAGGAAGCGGTCTTACCGGATCATTGGCCAACAGTCCAAGAGCCAAATTAACTGAAAGAAGCAAAAAGATTAAATAAATAAATAAACATCCGAACACAGAAGAAAAGTTTGACTGAGCTGATCTCCAACATGGTGCCACTGATAACATAAAATTAATTAAAATTAAATGAGTCCCCGAGTCTCAGTGGGATTAACATGTCTAAATAAGGGTTGAATGAAGAAAATAAACCTGATCATGTGATGGGAGCGAGCGTTCTGATTGGACAAAAACGGCCATCTGGAACCTTTTCTGATCTGGGTGGTAAGTGACAGCACCGCGATATCGGACCAGCAGAATGAGTGTGGAGGCAATATTTGGCCCGGGAGCCACCAGTTGAGACGCTGGAAGTCCTCTGCAGAAGCTCACCTGCAGTTGTGGACTTTCCCACGCCGCCTTTCCCTGAAGCCACGACGATGACGTGTTGGACGCCGGCGATGGGTTTCTGCTTGGGAAGACCTCTGGACATCTGCTGCTTCTGTCTGTCCTGCAGAGACGTCCTGTCCCCCAGGGACGTCCTGTCCCCTGCCCTCTTTAACACAAGAAGAAAAACTGACTTCTGGATTTGACCACAGGTCCCCAACCTCTGAGCCGTGGAGCAGTACCGGTCCATAGATCATTGGTCCTGGGCTGCACAGAAATAATAAACTTTTCCTTTAATAAATGTTTATAAAAAAATTTTTTATAAACTTTGTGCTTCTTTCCTGAACTTCACTGAACCACAGCAACATTTTGGACATTTGGTTCTAGGAATTTGTGGTTTTTGATCATTGTCTTAATTTTTCATCATTTCCATTCAGATGTTTTCTGATTTAAAGTCAAAATATCTGAACTATTATGAAAAATAATTGTTCATTTTAATATAAACAACTTTAGACAATTTAAATATCTTCACAGAGTTACATGATATAAAGTCAGAAAGCTTTTATTCTCACTGTTTCAGCAATAACTCATCAATATGATTAAATCTCAATAAAACAGGCGCAATAAATAATTTCTTACTTGTTTACAGCCAAATAACCAAAAGGCTATTATTGTAAATCCTGGAGTTGTTTACGAATTAAATAAAGACGAATCCCTGGATTTATTGTTAGAAAAAGTCTCTGTGGGGTTCTGTTCGTTTTAAACAATGTTTAGTTGAATTAACATCAGAAACTTTAAAAAAGGCGATAATGAAACAGAAGTCTGGTTGGATCGATCAGAACTGGTTCTGTTGTGGAAACAAACAGAAATCTGACCTGGTTCCGGATGAGCTGAACGCAGCACACAGCTCCGGGCTTTAACTCGGTTCCGGTTCTGAAAAACGAAGGTTTATTAGCAGCTATTCTCAGTAAATGGGCCAGTTTGTTGGACGTGAACAGACCCATGTCCGAACCGCAGAAAACTTCCTGCGCATCAAGTTTGCGCAGAAAACACGCAGATTGCCGTTTTTCAAAGTAAAAAAAAAAAACAACGAATAATTTCTACTAAAACAGATTAATTAATTTTCATCCCACGTTAAT